AAGAAATTGGTGGATAGTTAGGGAGCTGTGTTAATTAGGAATTTCTACCTAATTTGTAAATTTTATAGGGACTAAACTGGTAAGAAATTGGTGCACAGTTTGGAAATTGTGTTAATTATTTCTGCCTAACTGTGTTAATAATTTCTACCTAATTTGTAAATTTTATAGTGACTAAACTGGCAAGAAATTGGTGGATAGTTAGAAACTGCATTAATTATGAATTTCTACCTAATTTGTAAATTTTATAGTGACTAAACAGGTAAGAAATTGGTGCATAGTTAGGGAACTGTGTTAATTATGATTTTCTATCTAATTTGTAAGATTTATAGTGACTAAACTGGTAAGAAATTGGTGCACACTTTGGAAACTGTGTTAATTATTTCTGCCTAACTGTGTTAATAATTTCTACCTAATTTGTAAATTTTATAGTGACTAATCTGGTAAGAAATTGGTGCATGATTTGGAAACTATTCATTATGAATTTCTACCTAATTTGTAGGTTTTATAGTGACTAAACTGGCAAGAAATTGGTGGATATTTAGAAAACTGTATTAATTATGAATTCCTACCTAATTTGTAAGATTGGTAGTGACTAATCTAGCAAGAAATTGGTGCATAGTTTAGAAACTGTATTAATTATGAATTTCTACCTAATTTATAAATTTTATAGTGACTAAACTTGCAAGAAATTGGTGCATAGTTTAGAAACTGTATTAATTATGAATTTCTACCTAAATTATAAATTTTATAGTGAGTAAACTGGTAAGAAATTGGTGCACAGTTTGGAAACTGTGTTAATTATTTCTACCTAACTCTGTTAATAATTTCTGCCTAATTTGTAGGTTTTATAGGGACTAAACTGGTAAGAAATTGGTGCACAGTCTAGAAACTGTGTTAATTATGATTTTCTACCTAATTTGTAAATTTTATAGTGACTAATCTAGCAAGAAATTGGTGCATAGTTTAGAAACTGCATTAATTATGAATTTCTAACTACTCTGCAAGTTTTATAGTGACTAAACTGGCAAGAAATTGGTGTGTAGTTAGGGAACTGTGTTAATTATGATTTTCTATCTAATTTGTAAGTTTTATAGTGACTAATCTGGTAAGAAATTGGTGCATAGTTTGGAAAGTGTGTTAATTATTTCTACCTAACTGTGTTAATAATTTCTGCCTAATTTGTAGGTTTTATAGTGACTAAACTGGTAAGAAATTGGTGCATAGTTTGGAAACTGTTAATTATGAATTTTAACCTAATTTGTAAGATTGGTAGTGACTAATCTGGTAAGAAATTGGTGCATAGTTAGGAAACTGTGTTAATTAGGAATTTCTATCTAATTTGTAAGATTTGCAGTGACTAATCTGGTAAGAAATTGGTGCACAATTTGGAAACTGTTCATTATCAATTTCTACTAATTTGTAAATTTTATAGTGACTAATCTGGCAAGAAATTGGTGCATAGTTAGGAAACTGTATTAATTATGAATTTTAACCTAATTTGTAAGATTGGTAGTGACTAATCTGGTAAGAAATTGGTGCACAATTTGGAAACTGTGTTAATTATTTCTACCTAACTGTGTTAATTATGAATTTTTTACCTAATTTGTAGGTTTTATAGTGACTAAACTGGCAAGAAATTGGTGCACAGTTTAGAAACTGCATTAATTATGAATTTCTACCTAATTTGTAAAATTTGCAGTGACTAATCTGGTAAGAATTGGTGCACAGTTTGGAAATTGTGTTAATTATTAATTTCTACCTACTCTAAGTTTTATAGTGACTAAACAGGTAAGAAATTGGTGCATAGTTAGGGAACTGTGTTAATTATGAATTTTAACCTAATTTGTAAGATTTGCAGTGACTAATCTGGTAAGAAATTGGTGCATAGTTTGGAAAGTGTGTTAATTATTTCTACTTAACTGTGTTAATAATTTCTACCTAATTTGTAGGTTTTATAGTGACTAAACAGGTAAGAAATTGGTTCATAGTTTAGAAACTGTATTAATTATGAATTTTAACCTAATTTGTAAGTTTTATAGTGACTAAACGGGTAAGAAATTGGTGCATAATTTGGAAACTGTGTTAATTATTAATTTCTACCTATTTTGTAAGTTTTATAGTGGCTAAACTGGTAAGAAATTGGTGCATAGTTAGGAAACTGTGTTAATTATGAATTTTTACCTAATTTGTAAATTTTATAGTGACTAAACTGGTAAGAAATTGGTGCATAGTTTGGAAACTGTGTTCATTATTTCTGCCTAACTGTGTTAATAATTTCTACTAATTTGTAAATTTTATAGTGACTAATCTGGCAAGAAATTGATGCATAGTTAGGGAACTGTGTTAATTAGGAATTTCTACATAATTTATAAATTTTATAGTGACTAAACTGGTAAGAAATTGGTGCATATTTAGGAAACTGTATTAATTATGAATTTTAACCTAATTTGTAAATTTTATATTGACTAAACTGGTAAGAAATTGGTGCACAGTTTGGAAACTGTGTTCATTATTTCTACCTAAATGTGTTAATAATTTCTACCTAATTTGTAAATTTTATATTGACTAAACTGGTAAGAAATTGGTGCATAATTTGGAAACTATTCATTATGAATTTCAACCTAATTTGTAAATTTTATAGTGACTAAACTGGCAATATATTGGTGCATAATTTGGAAACTATTCATTATGAATTTCTACCTAATTTGTAAATTTTATAGTGACTAAACTGGTAAGAAATTGGTGCATAGTTAGGGAACTGTGTTAATTATTTCTACCTAACTGTGTTAATTAGGAATTTCTACCTAATTTGTAGGTTTTATAGTGACTAAACTGGTAAGAAATTGGTGCATAGTTAGGAAACTGCATTAATTATGAATTTCTACCTACTCTGTAAATTTTATAGTGACTAAATTGGTAAGAAATTGGTGCACAGTTTGGAAACTGTGTTAATTATTTCTACCTAACTGTGTTAATAATTTCTGCCTAATTTGTAGGTTTTATAAGGACTAATCTGGCAAGAAATAGGTTCAGGATGGGTCAGCTGTACCTGTTCCATCATGAGGAGCACAGCTTGAGTCCTTGTTCTTATTTATGAGAAAAATAAGTGTTAGACAAGTTGNAGGGGCAGGGATGAAATCA